TTACTGGCTGCATCATCTACTAGTTGTACCGACCTTTTCCTCAAACATGATATCCTCCACCTCTGCAACTCAAAGCCTCTATCTTCATGCCAGAAGACCAGTTGAAGTCGAGCACAATTTCAGCTTCTCACGAGTAACACCCTCAATTGACATATTACTGTTAACGTAGTCTTGTACCACCAAGCTCTTTCTTGGGTTACTCATGTATCTGCTTACAACTCCCACTGCATGAGTAATATCTTGCCCCTGTTGAAAGCCATTTTCAACAAGTCCAGTCTTATACCTCTTACCGTCACCAAGTACAGTCTTCACCCGGTACACCCATTTATTGTACAATGTCTTCTTCCTTGGTGGAAGTTCTGTCAGCTCCTAAGTCTAACTCTTTGGCAGGGAATCTGTCTCCTTCTTCTTGGTCAACTCACTCTTACTCAAATTCTCATCTTGTAAGATTTCTTCATAACTCTGTAGTTCTCCACCATTTGTCTGTACAATGTCCGGTTTTCCTGCCTTTGGCGCTATGCCACTTTTCAGGAAATTGACCTTCTTATGCTTCCCCATAATGCATCTCTGACTCATGTGTCATCGTCTGAGTAAACCTGTAGTCATATATAGTGTGTCAGTTTTCTTACCCCGAGCCAGTACTAATGCTCCTTTGGTAACCTTCCAGGTGTTATTTGAGAACACTACCGATTGCCCACCATTATTGAGTTGCCCAACAAAGATGAGGTTTTTCTTCAACTCAGGAACGTGTCTGACCATTTGCAAAATCCATTTGCTCTTGTTAGGGAGTGCAATATCAACATCTCCCATCCCCACCACGTCCAGAGGTTTTCCATCAGCCAGATATACCTTCCCAAAGTTACCTGCAACATAATTTCGCATTAACTCCCGACGGGAAGATGTATGGAAGGAAGCTACTGAAATAGTATCCAGTCATCAACATAGTTGTGAACTACCAGAAATAGTGCATAATGTATTTCTTTAGTTACAACATTTGCGTCATCATTCTCTTCTTCTTAGGATTTCTGCAGTTTCTTTTTATGTGATCAACCTTGCTACAATTCCAGTAGGTTGCATGCTGACCAGACTTTGATTTTGATCTTCCTCTGTTTGAGTTCCTGTCTTGTGATCTCCCTCTAGAATCAACATTCAACGCCAAACTTGAACACAAGGCCTCGCCAGAATCATTCCTGCGCATCTCCTCAGCTAAAATCAAATCATAAATATCATCACATTTTAGCTTAGATTTACCTGCAGAACTACTAACTGCTATTCTCGTGGCTTCCCAACAATTTGACGATGAAGTCAACAATATCAGCGCACGTATCTCATCATCAAAATCAATTTCAACAAACCATAATTGATTTGTGATAGTATTGAAATCATTCAGGTGTAGAGCGAAAGACACACTTTCTGTCATCTTCAAGTTGAATAACTTTTTCATTAGATGCACATTATTATTCGCGCCTTTCATACATACCTGATCAAGCCGCCATGATATCTGCAATAGTCATCTCCTTGATGATGTTGTGGGCAACCGATCTCGACAGGGTTAATCGTATAACCCCCAGAACCTGTCGATCCAACTGATTCCATTCCGCCTCGTCTATCTTTTCCGGTCGCTTTCCCATTAACGGAAGATGAAGTTTCTCTCATAGAGGTAGTCCTCTATCTGTATCATCCAGTAAGCAAAATTTGTGCCATTGAACTTCTCGACCCCCGATGCAATCACTTTGTCTCCGCCCATCGTTCTTCCTTAGATTCGAACCCAAGACTCTGATACCAGTTGTTGTGAAAAACAACGACAATAAAACGAAAAATGGAACGAGTAAAATTGCATGCAGAAAAACACCAGAGCGACACACATATTTACGTGGTTCGATAATTTTGCCTACGTCCACAGAGCTGCAGAAGATTTTATTTCTTCGAAGAATTACACCGTCGAGCGTCTCGACATTTACAAGAAAATCTATTTTTTCTTCTCTCCCTTCCTCTCTCTCTCTCTCTCTCTTTCTCTCTTTCTCTTAGCTCTCAAGAGGACTTGGCTTGACCTTGCTTGGCTTGTGGCTTGTGGCTTGTGGCATTGTTTATGACAAGTCATAAGAGACTATTTATAGAAACCAAGAGAACGGTAGTTGGGAGGTAGGTGAGCGGTAGGTGGGATGTGGAAGCTAATTAAATTCGATGGACCGGGTCTCCACATTACCCAACAAGCTTTTCAGTAATTACAAGAAAATTTGAATGTAATAAGACGGTGAGAAGATCGTCGATCGCTTGCCATGGTTTTACTTAGTCGATACTCGATTCGGGGTTGAATCATCTGACGATCGATTCGAATAAAGCCGACCGTTGTGCTTTGAGCCAAAATCCTTTGATAGGCCCTTCCAGCCGTTCAACCCTTATTTCTTTCGTTAGCACCTGATTTGTTGGTTGTTAGAAATCGTGGTTGACCGGTGATGCGATCGACCGCCCCTTTGTTCTTGAGTCATCCATTTGCCTTGAAATTCATGTCGACGTATTTTTTTTTATACAATAATAATATATAATGTAGTTCTTCTTTGTAGGTCTATATTTTTCTAATTATGAGAGCACTTATGAAAGGAAGCACCATTCTATCATTATGATATACATAGCTTGAGTATTGCAGGTTCTCACCTTTGCCAACTTGAAAGAAAAGTTCTAAAATGCTAAAGGTTGGAACTCCATGGTCGAAGCAAAACGAAGTCTGAGAAATATGTTGTAAATCGAAGTTCAGAATGTAGAAGCCATGGTAGAACACATTGAAGCAAACTGAGTGCCTGCAAGCTCAGGATAAACTGCTCTTTTGCTGAAGTTTTAATCTTAACCAATGATAAGCTTTCATTAACTTCCAGAAAAAGAATGATTAAGTTATTAAACTTTATGTATCAATTAGCGTCTTGGGCGGTGTTATATGTATATGTTCATAGGTTTACTTTTACATAGATTATTTATAATTTATTGTACTGTTGTTGTCATTACCTGGTCTATGTTGTCTTCAGAGATGAGTTTTGTTTATGTAGGCCGCATTTGTATTATAGTAACTTGGTGTAGAAATTGTTATTGTACATCTTACTCAAATATACACATATTTTATTGGTTATATTTTTCAGGTCCGTTTTTTTAATGGTTTTGAATAAACTCAACTTATGTCAAATATGTGTATAAATTTTATTGACGAGTTCATAATTTATTCTTATAAAACTTATATTTTGTAGCCTCTAATGGTGTACATCTTTAATTGTGTTAATATATTCTTTTAAAATTTTACTCATAATTTTTATTTATTTAACATGTTATACATTGTTTTTGTTTGTTGAAAAGGTGGAATAAATTGTTTAGAATTAGGGCACGTTTTGAAAACGCCGCCGTACTGTTTGGAACATACGTTCGCGCAAATTATTCATGCCGCACTGCGTTGGCGTCAGGGAATTCCTTACGAGACTTCGACGCGGGTAAAGACTCGCGTCCCTCGTTCTGCGACAAGTGTTGCTCTAGATACCCCTGATCTCCCTCGCCCTCTCCCTCCCTGGATTGGTCACCCTATAGGAGATCAAACCTTCTTCCTTTCAAGGTTTCTTTATGATTCGTAAGGTATGCTTTCCCTCACCGTCAATGCTTCTTTCTCGTGTATCTCCCTCGCCCTCTCCCTCATTGGATTTGTTGGAAAATGGTGATCGAACGTCGCAGTTACATGATTTTTTTCTTCCTAGACCTAAGAGCCAAGATTTTCATCTTCTTTTTTTTATTTCAAGTTGAAGAATGTGAATGGTTCTTTCTGGTTGCCCTTGAATTTCTTTCGATTTTTGCTGGGAGCGAGGAATAATTTCTGTTTGCTGGGTATTTTATCGAGCAATGTCTGTTATAGGATGAAGATAATGTGGAGAATGCATTCCTTATATCGGGCCTGACTTTCGTTTCGATTTTTTTTTTAGATATGACATTTGGTTTTTTTGTTTTATTTTCACAGTTATACCAACATGATTTATAGGATTTCAGTGACATATAAAGTTGTTTGTATTATTGTGGACTACCAACTCCGTTACTCACGTCGCGTCAACCTTATAGCAGTGGGAGAAGGTTCTACCGTTGTTGCAAGGGTATTTCAGCTCATTGCAGTTTCTTCTGATTGGCTGACAGTCCCACATGTTACAGTGCTAGTAGTGAGGGGAATCCGATTTTTTCCCAGGTTGATAGTGCTGCTGAGAACATGCGTAGTCAGAGTTTGAAATTAAATATTTTAATATTTCTCATTATAATTGTACTTGTCTTTATCCTTCTTTATTTTTTTTTATACTCACGAGAGTGTGATAACTGTATGTCATCTTTTGGAACTGATCTGTGATGATTTTATGCTTCTGTACTATATATTTTTGTTCTCATTTTAGTTCTGTTTCAAACAGTTTTACCAGACATGGGCAGAAATGTCATTTATAAACAATAACTACCAATAAGTTATTTTGAATAAGCTATCCCAAACAGCAAACCAACTTATTTTATCAGAATAATCTGCTTGTCAACAGATTATAAATAATCAACAGATGTCCCAAATAGACCCTTAATTTTTTAGTCTTATCAATTAGTTAAGAGGTAAAATTATGAATTTTAGATGTTTTAATATCACAAGTAATATTTTATTCTAAATGAATGCTTTATTATATAGTTAATCAAGTTTGATGCCTAATTGAAATCAACTAAACAATTGCTCTAATTGAGCTTTTAAACAAGCCCAACTCAAGCTAACGAGCCAAACTCGAGCCAAATTTACTATTCACGAGCTATCGAGCTAAATATTAAAGCTTAATTCAAGCTAGATGAGCTCATTTTTAATCATGCCAGCGTGATTAGACTCGAGCTCGACCTCTTTTTTAATAATAAGAGCTCGACTAAACTCATTTGCACACCCATGCTAGTCCGATACATGAAAAATTTGCACCCCGATGCCGGATACATGAATACATTAAAAATGGTATGGTATATATATACTTTTTATTGACGTCTCAAGCGTCATCTACACTACCTGCGCCGTCCCCTTCCTCCTCGCAGCCGCCGCCCGCGCCGTCTCTACCGGCGAGCATACAATTTCTAGAATCCGCCTCATTTATTTCTCCCTCATATGGATCAAACTCTAGTTTCCTCCTCTTCCTCCTCATCCCCGATCCTCGAAACCCTAGGCGAAGAAATCCTTCGAATCCTCTACCCCGTATCATTGTGCATGTTTCTCGTCGTCCTCCTCGTTTCCGCACTCACCTCCGACGACACCTCCCCCATATCTTTCTCCTCTGTTGCCAACCTTGTCTATTATGAATCATCCTCAGACTCTTTCTGGTCGAAGCTCTCCGGTGCCTTCCTTAACTCCCTCCTCTTCATCGCCATCGTTACAGTCTTAACCTTCCTCCTTGTCCTCCTATTCTACCTGCGCTGCACTCCTTGCCTCAAATCCTACATGGCCTTCTCCTCATTCGCAGTCCTTTTCTTTCTTGGCGGTGAGATCTCTGTCCTCCTGCTATCCCGCTTTGCGGTTCCGCTTGACGCATTCTCCTTCCTCCTACTTCTCTTCAACTTCTCCGTTGTTGGAGCCTTTTCTGTTTTCTTATCCAAGGCTCCGATTTCGCTTACCCAGGGTTACTTGGTCATCATCGGTGTGCTCGTGGCTTACTGGTTCACGCTTCTTCCAGAGTGGACTACATGGACGCTGTTGATCTCCATGGCATTGTATGATATCGCTGCTGTTTTGCTTCCGGTTGGGCCGCTTAGGCTTCTGGTGGAGTTGGCGATCTCGAGAGACGAGGAGATTCCAGCGCTAGTATATGAAGCTCGGCCGGTGGATCCCCAGGCTAGTGGTAGGAGGTTGTGGAGAGAAAGAAGGAATCTTGAGGTCAATCCAGATTCAATTTCTAATAATGATGCTCCGAGGCATGGGAATCCAACACAGCAGACAAGGATGACAATTACAGTGGAAGAAACATCAGGTGAATATTCTTCTAATTCTGAATTACTGGCTCCATTAGTGTCACAGCAGCCAAGAAGGCAAGAGATGGAGGCGGTGGAGGGAATCGGATTGGGATCTTCTGGTGCTATCAAGTTGGGATTGGGGGACTTCATCTTTTACAGCGTGTTGGTTGGGAGAGCTGCGCTGTATGATTTCATGACAGTATATGCTTGTTACCTCGCCATTGTTGCAGGGCTTGGTTTAACTCTTTTACTGCTGGCGTTTTATAGGAAAGCTGTACCTGCTCTTCCTGTATCTATAGCACTTGGTGTGCTGTTTTATTTATTGACGAGGGAATTGTTAGAAGTTCTCGTTGTTCAGTGCTCGGTGAATTTGCTGATGTTTTGATGAGTTAGTATTGCTTTGGATATGGTTATTTGTGCAAGGCGACCTCCATTGATGGACACTGATTTTAGCTTTCAGCAAGTGAAATAAGTTTTAGAAATTTGTATGATAAGAAAGGATACAATGCCCATTTGAAATATGGTGGAATGCAAGGCAGGTAAATTATTGATTTTTTATTGAATAAAATTATTTTCAATCATGTTATTGAATGAAATTATTGATTGGGTGTGGGACTTTTATTTCTTACTTTGATAACTTCTTTATTGGAACTAATTTCTTTTACATAATTTGTTGCTTGTTTGCAGGTGCTTTAAAATTTGTTCAAATTTGGTACTATTGAATTCTTATTGCAGTGATTAAATTAGGATTGTTCTTTAATTTTTCGCGGTTCAAAATTCTTATTTGTTCGGATTTATTATATCATTGCACTATTTTTTGTGTTTTAATTCTTGAATTTTTTTGTTTGTTTTTAAACTGGTTGACTTATATAGTACATGCATTATGATCTATGAATCATTGAGTCACTTCATATGATTTACATATATCGCATCAAATATTTGCATATCCTAATCATTTGCAGCAGTTCAGGAGGGAAGGATACTTATAGCTAAGTGCTTACGTGAACCAAATTTAATTTTCTTATTTGTTAGTTTACTTGCGAAAGATTTAAGTTTTAGACCATTAATCAGCTACACGTTTTTATTGCATAAACCTCCTCAGCATTTTCTTGCTGTATTTCTTCTTTTGATTTTGCTGCAGCATTTTATATTTTGATGAAATGAGTGTTATTGTTTTATGCATTTTTTTTGGATTTAAAAATCAAATAGTAAAAAAAAAATACAACTTGCATGCCAATGTTATGTAAGTTTGGTAGACATTCAAGAGAAGAATATTTTCCATGATTATTTCTATTTGATATTGTTGAAAGATCTCAAAAATACTAATGATTATATTCCATATTTGTTATAACTCTATATTTAGAGGGTTATAAATTATATGAGGGATCTTGAAAATCTCAATTTATTTCTCTCCTTAAATTAGAGAGATTAACTTCCTCTTATATTTTGTTATTATTCATTTTCTTTTATACTGTATTCTGTTTTATTGCTTTTCTTACCAGTAAATCCTGTAATGGGCATTTATACCCCTCTTTTCTTCAATAAAATCATGTCCTCTCATATCTTTTTATGGTATCAGAGCCAAACCAATCTTTTTCGGTATGACGACTTTTTCTTCTTCCTCCCAAGAAATATCCTCCGCCTCATCCGCCTATGTTCCAACCGAAATCGATGACACTTCCTCCCTCATCACTGGCCACAAACTCAACGGCTAGAACTACCTTCAGTGGTCCCAAACCGTCATGATGTTTATCTGTGACAGAGGTAAGGACAACTATATCGCTTGTGATGCCGTCACTCCGACCAAAGATGATCCAAAATTCTAGACATGGAATGCATAAAACCACATGATCATGTCGTGGTTAATCAATTCCATGACCAACGACATCGGCGAAAATTTTCTTCTCTACGACACAGCTAAAAGTATTTAGGATGCTGCTCGAGAGACATACTCACACTCAGATAACACATCCAAGCTCTTCGAGATCGAGTCAATCCTCCACGATCTTCGCCAAGGTAATCAATCCGTGACTCAGTATTTTAATGCCCTCTCACGTTATTGGCAGCAGGTTGACATGTATGAAGTTCATGTCTGGTCATGCACTCCGGACTCCAACTTATACCGTCAGATCATCGAGCAGAAAATAATATTCAAATTTCTTCTCGGCCTCACCAAATCTCTTGATCATGTTCGCTTTTGTGTATTAGGCTTCATACCACTACCGAACATTCGTGAGGCCTTCTCCGAGATTCGCCGCGAAGAAAGCCGCCAGAAAGTCATGCTTGGGTCTATCTCCACCTCGCTCAATCTCTACCCCTCCGTTGCCGCCTCCGCCCTTGCAGCTCGGGTTCCTCCGCCTCGACACAACGACAACTCATCACACAAAGGCGGTCTCTGGTGCAACCACTGCCGCAAAAAATGCCATAATAAAGACACTTGTTGGGTGCTTCATGGAAAGCCAGCCGATTGGAAGCATCGGTCTGATCGCGCTCCCAGTGCCAACAACGCCGTCACTGCCGATGATCTTCCTGCACCAGCGCCAAGTCCATTCAACAAAGAGTAACTAGATTTGCTGCACAAACTGATCGACAAACCACATAATCTGGTTGTTCCTGACCCCATCATTGGTTTGCTCGCGCATCAAGGTACGTTCTACCATGTCTTCACAGTCAATCAAGGATCCCTCAGTCAGTGGATCATTAATTATGGTGCTTCTCATCACATGACTGGCGATGCTTCCATTTTCCATGACTATATGTCGTGCGGAGACAACTCCACTATCCGTGTTGCCGATGACTCTGTCTCCAAAGTCGTCGGCTTTGGCTCCATACGCATCACCCAAAACATTATACTCCGATCTGTGCTTCATGTTCCTACTTTAAATTGCAATTTAATATCCATCGGAAAGTTGACTAATGATCTGAGGTGTATTGCTAAATTTTTTCCTACCACATGTGAATTTCAGGATGCGGACTCGGGGATGACGATTGACAATGCTTAGTTGTGCTCGGGTCTCTACGTCATCAACGGTACTTCACCACCACGACCTCACTGCGGACGTTTGTCCACCCATCATTCTGTCTTTAATTCTAGTGCCAATAAAGATTCCGAGATCATGTTATGACATTTTCGTCTCGGCCATCCAAATTTTATTTATCTTGCAAAACTATTTCCAAATTTATTTATCAATAAAGATGTTCATTTTTTTTAATGTGAATTTTGTCAACTTGCTAAACACACTCACATGTCATTTCTATGTGTTGGTTACACCTCTTTTCGGCCCTTTGCGCTCATTCACAGTGATATATGGGGCCCATCCCGTGTTACAACCCTTACTGGGACTCGGTGGTTTGTCTATTTTATTGATGATCACACTAGACTAACATGGCTATTTCTTATGAAAGATAAATCTGAAGTTAGTCACATATTTGAACAATTTTACTTAATGATCCAAACACAAATCTAAATCTCCATCCCTTCGCTTTCGTCCTCAGCTCTTATATCTCCTTTAAAGGTATCCTCCATCTCAGTTCTTGCGTCGACACTCCTCAACAAAATGAGATCGCCGAACGCAAGAACCACCACTTTCTCGAGGTGGTCCGCTGCCTCATGTTTTCCTCTAACGTGCCTAAGGTTTTTTGGGGTGACGCTGTATCCACTGCAGCCTACCTCATCAACAGGATGCCTTCTCAGGTCCTCAAATTTCAAAGTCCAGTCTAACTTCTTCTCAAATCATTTCCCCACACCAAGACAATTACCCAAAGTTTACCTACCAAATTATTTGGTTGCTCCTCCTTTATTCACATTCATTCATACAATCGCAACAAACTTGACCCCAAATCTACTAAATGTAATTTTCTCTGCTACTCGCCTCTTCAAAAAGGGTATAACTGTTGTTCTCCTCTCACAAGAAAAACCTACAACACTATGGATGTCACATTCTTTGAAAATCAGCCTTACTACCCCAATTCTAATATTTAGGGGGAGACTTTAAGAGAATATCAGTCTTGGGGAGACAACGATTTCATACCACCACACACCAAATCCTCGTCCCTTGAACCGAACTCATTATCTCCCGACTCAGATTCAACAAGTTCATCTAACTCACATGAAAACGTACCTAACAATCAGTCTCCGTCTAGTCCTCAAGTGTCCAACTCGCACATAGATCACCAAACACATCCAACACCAATCCAAGAGTCAGAACCGGATCCAATTCTTACAGAAATCCGCTCAGGTACGAATACACTTGAACATGAATCTACTATACCTATGATTAATGACTCCGACATTCCAATTGCTTTAAGGAAAGGTGTTAGGTCCTTCCGACCTCCACTCAGGTACGAACACACGATGTATCCAATTTTCAACTTTGTGTCCTATGAAATACTATCTTCAGCCTCCCGAGCCTATGTCACTGCATTCGACAATACACAGGTCCCAAACACCATTGATGAAGCTCTCAAACACCTGGGGTGGAAAGCAGCCATCAATGAGGAGGTAAGAGCCCTACAAAAAAATGGTACATGGACTGTTTCAAACCTGCCAAAGGGAAAGAAAGCAATCAGTTGCAAATGGATCTTCAAAGACAAATACAAGGCAGATGGTACAATTAAAAGATTAAAAACACGTCTCATAGCAAAAAGTTTTTCACAATCTCACGGTATTGATTACCAAGAAACATTTGCCCCCGTGGCCAAACTTAACACCATCAGAATCCTCTCTCACTTGCAATAAATGAAGACTGACAGCTGCATCAACTCGACGTGAAAAATGCTTTCTTAAATAGCGATTTGGAAGAAGAAGTTTACACGGAAGCACCTTCTGGACTAGAAGCATCTTTTCTAAGCAATAAAATCTGCAAACTCCAAAAATCATTGTATGGCCTCAAACAATCTCCCCGAGCATCGATAGATTTGCAAAATCAGTGACAAAATACGGGTATACTTAGTGTTAGATAAATCACATTCTCTTCGTGAAAACCTCTCCTGAAAAGAAGATTGCAATTCTAATCGTATACGTCGACGATATCATCCTCACTAGAAATCATGAAGAACTCACAAATCTGACAAAGCTTCTCACTCGAGAATTCTAAATCAAAGACCTAAGAAACCCAAAGTTCTTTCTCGGCATGGAACTAGCTCGATCAAAACGAGGATTATTTGTGTCACAACAGAAATATACATTGAACCTGTTGAAGGAAACATGTATGCTAGGTTGCAAACCCGTCGATACTCCAATGGATCCCTGCAAGAAGATCGACACCGAGAAAAATAGTGCACCTGTTTATAGGGGGAGATATCAGTGACTCGTGGGGCGACTCATCTATCTCTCACACACACGACCCGACATTGGTTTTTTTGTTAGTGTTGTTAGCCAATTCATGAACGGTTAACCCTACGGAAGAACACCTGAATGCAATTTACAGAATCTTGAGATACCTCAAGATGACTCCAGACAATTGCTACTGTTTCAAAGGAATAAAGATCGAAGTATAGAAGTGTATTCAGACGCAGACTGAGCAGGGGATGTCTCGGACCGACGATCGACTTCCGGCTATTACACTTATGTCTGGGGAAACCTAGTCACTTGGAGAAGCAAAAAAC